CTGAACCAGGAAGATCGCGAGTTCAGGGCCGCTCCCCTCGGAGTTCCTCACGCTGCCGCCTGTCCAGGGGGCTGGAGGCCTGCACCCCCATCCTGCTGCGCCCTCGAGCTCCTCCAGCTCTGCTGGGGCGCCGGGCCGGCTTCGCTCCCCGCGTGCACACCTGCCAGGAGGGGAGGGGCCGGGCCCCCATTCCGCCTCTGCGGCCCCCAGCCCCTCCCTATCTGCAACCGACACCTGCTGCACGACGCAGCGCCTGCTACGGCACAGCCCCGGCCAAAACACTTTTGTTTTTTAGCTTCCTTTTTCTTTCTTTTCTTTTTTTCCCTCCCCTACCTGGGGTTGAACCCAGCACTTTGCACTGAGCTACACACCTCCCGCCCCCCTTTTGTGATACGGGGGATTGAACTTGGGTCCTTGCGCTTGCAAAGAAGGCGGCAGCACCACTAAGCTAAATCCCTGGCCCTTCAATTTCATTTTTTGAGGCAGGGTCTTGCTAAGCTGTTAAGTTGTCCCAGCTGGGCTCCAACTTGAGATCCTCCTGCTTCGGCCTCCCTCAACAGGACCACAGGTGTGTACCACAACCCCCAGCTTAGGTTTCACGTTTAAAATGTCTCCTAACAGTCTGGAAGGCTGAGGCAGGACGACCACAAATTCGAGCCCACCTTATACAACTTTGCAACCCCTTGTCTCAAAATAAGGAACACAAGCTTGGGGATGGGGCTTGGGCAAAAGGCCTGGGGCGGGGGTCTTCTAAAACGGATCTCCCCAGGCCGCCTCGTCCAGAACCCTCCAGCCTCCAGTCCTGACCTCAGTGCCCCACCTGGAAACCCCGGGCATGGGGAGCCACAGCCGGGGGAGCCTCCAGCGCCCCATGTCGGAGAGCGGCCTGTTTCCTCCCTCCCTGGCTGGGGTGTTCAAGCTGGAGGAAGGAGGGAGGGAACAGGGCCACACGGGGTGCACAGGGCTTCCTAGCAGGGGCATCAGGCAGGGAGGGCAGGTGGTGGGAGGGCCTGGGCCCTTTCTGGGGTGCAGGTCTCCCAGCCCAAGGAAGAGCACCGGCCATCTACCACTCCTGAGGACAGCGGGGCCTGTAGCTGTTCCAACGATATCACAGCACCCCTTGCTGCTTCCTGGGCCAGACAACATTGTCTGGAATGAAGATGTGAGGGAGGGAGTCTCCTTTTCCCCTTCCTCTTCCAGTGGCTGGAATGTAGGCACGATGGCTGGAACGTAAGCAGCCATGTTGGACTATGAGCCAACACCCCGCAAACAGGTACTCAACAATGGTACAGTAACAGAGTAGCAGCTGGGGTAACCCAAGGTTTCTCTTCTTTTTTTTTTTTTTT